GTAATAAATCATCCGTAGTAACACCAAAAAAAAAATTTCTTATGGGAACCCAATGCAAGAAAATGAATGTCAAATTTCACAAAGTTACATCTTACACGTGAAATTTGAAGAATTTTATCTATGTAATCACAATTCTCGTGAAATTTGACATTCATTTTCTCGGAATTCCATAAGAAATTTTCTTTGGTCTTACTACAGATGATTTATTACATCTTTAGCCCTTGAAAAATGTAAACAAGAGTGCATTATCTTTTAAATTATTCTGGTACAAGGTTTTTTCCCACTGAAAATTGAAATTACTCAACTTCCTAGTGGATTCCGTCTTAAATCTCTTTTTCACAAGAAAAAGTCTTCAATTTAGTCTCGTTTTTAACTAGTTAATGGCCTATTCTTCTGTAGAGGCTCTTGACAACAGCTGCACCATCTTGCTATGCGCAATAAGAGATGCGCAGTACAAGACCAGTGAATCACCTTAACACATCTAACCGACACAAACAGTTTTATAATTTTAAAAGGACTGTATTTTTTCTAGCTTACGTCGCAAAAACTGTGGCGGATAAGGTCCAGTAATAATATCCATTTGGGGGGCATGGCTCGTGACGTCGCGTTTTTGTTCTTCACGATTAAATGGCACAGCTGAAATGCAAGCAAACAATATTTGACATTAAGCATTATTTACAATTTTTTTTTATCACGACTAACTATCATTTTATCAGATATCCGAATATGTAAGCAAAGTAATAGACCTTTTTACCGACACGGCGGCCATATTGAATTTATTAGATTTAAGGAGTATTATTTGATGCACAGAGCGCACTCGCTCAGTATTTACGCGCGCTTTTCGGGCAAAAAGAGGACTTCAATGTATATTTCTCGGGAAAAAGGCGATCGTTATTACATCCAAAGACGGCACAACGATCTTTTGTTCTCATTACAATCTTTTTTTTTTTTTTTTAAAGAAAAATTGGCCCGAAAAGCGCGCGTACATATGTATACTGATGCGAGTATATCGGATCGTGCTCATGCCCCCTGGGCATCCCATAATACTCCTTAAATCCAATTAATTCAATATGGCCTCCGTATCGGTAAAAAGGTCTGTTGTTATGGAACAGTGGTGGCGAGAATAATTACAATACATGATTAAAAAACAACCTTGGATACCCTTAACTCTGTTTTATCAAGATTTATTATATAGACACCAGTGTTTTACTGGAAAATATACCACTCGTAAAATTCATAAAAACTACATCCGGGACTTGATTGGTTTATTTTCCATATTCTCACACGTGAGTTTATCGATAACATAATTTCGGTAATTCAAAAGACGTCTTGCGTCTTTTGAATTTTACTAACACATTTTTCAAAGTTTTGCTTATATTCTGCCATTGTAGAGCCCTATTCAGGTCAGTGTTATTTCTCAAGATTACTGTAACCAATGTCTTATATTGCTGTACTGTAAATCTGAGCCGTCACAATTACTTTTTGGCGAATAAAAATCTATTATTTTATCGATGTCTTTTTGTCTGTATAATAAAAAGAACATTACACGACCGCTTGAAGATATGAATTTTACGTTCTCGTTGCAAAAACAATATTTTACTCACTCGCTGCGCTCGTTCGTAAAATATTGTTTTGCCACTGGAAAATAAAATTCATATCTTCGCCCCACCGTGTAATATCCTCTATTTAACATCATTTCAAGCATTACTTCATATGTAAGTAAAGTAATTGTTATGGAACAGTAGAGGCGAGAATAAAACACATAAATGAAAAGAACATACTTGTAAACCCCAACACTAGGGTGTGTGGGTGGGGGAAATTGGCCTTTTTGGGGGGTTAGCCGAGAAAATGGTGGAAGACTTTTTTAAAAGCACTGACAGCAAGATCAGAACAAATACCACTCGACAGGGGTAGATTGCTACTGAAAAATATCTGTTAGAAAAAAGATACCTTCATATTCTAAAGTGCCAAATGTTTTGAAGACGGTTACTTTACCTCAGTAGAAGACTAACTAGGCATATGTAGTTTTCAGGATGGAAATGTTTTGATTAAATAAACCATGAAACATGCAATTATTGGATTCGGCCTATAACACTACTGGTCATTATACACGTTGGGGCTCAATTTTTTCTATCCTTGGTTTAAATTTTATTTCCCTTTGTTTTAAACTAAATATCATACATTACCATACCCGGCAAAACAAAGGGAAATAAAATTTAAACCGAGGATAAGACTGAACAAAACATATACATCCTAATGATGCCTATATCTTCGAGCATGGCCACATCTAACTACGTAGAGAGGCTTTTCTTAAAATCATGGCACTCAGCTATGAAAAGTGATAGACTAATGATCATTATATGCGACCACTATATTTTCAGTGTTTTTACAGTGTGAAATGATTCCTTTTCTTTTTGATTTACAGGGATTTTACATAATATTTACCAGGGCGTAGTAAACTATCTTCCTTGATTTACATGTTATTTACAGAATTTTTTGACAATATTTACGGTATATTTACATGATCTTGCCTTTAGAACCTTTACATTTTACAGGATTGTCTCCATTTTTTACATGTTCTGCTCGTAATATTTACACCTTTTTTACAGTAACTTTAATTTTAACATCCTGTAGAAGCTAGGCATTTTCCTTGTAAAATGTCGTTTACAGTGATCTGTAGTTGATTTTTGTGATATTTACATGTTAGAATAGAATTTTACATGTGCATGTAAATTGATCAATTTCTCCAGTGAAACTTTCAGGGTTAACGGTTCTAAGATGATTTGATGGACAGAAAGAAATATCCCCGAGGTAAAGAGGAGCCACTGAAAATTTTAAGAAGAAAAATCAGATCGGCTAAAAACACTTTTCATTTCAAAATTCAATATTGTCATAATATATTTAGTCAGTAAACGAAGAAAAATTTAGTAAATGCTTCGATCTTTACCTGAAGACGAAACCACAGCCACTACGAGAAGAAGGCAAATGAGAGAGGCACAACAAATCTTCATCTTAACTGGCTGATTTTATTTTCTGCAATAAAAATGTTATCAAGCAGTGCAATCAGTCAGCTAAAATATCAAAGATTAAATAAATACGGTCCTCCAACGGCACAGCTCCCCTACTGCAGAGTTTGGTTTTGAAAGAAAGTAGGACTGAAAGTGGATTCGTTGTTCATACAGGTGCAGTGGAGATCCGTGTCTCATATATTTCTCGGTTCTAAAAGTGACGGCTACTAAAGTGGCTTTGAGAAAAATAAAACGCCTAGCTATCATGCATTTAGCAATACACGAAAAACGTAAATTTGACTGATGATAAATTATAATATTTCTGCAAAATAGGAAATTAAGACGACCCTACTTTTTTCACAAGAAAATCATTTAATTTCGTTTGTATTGTTGGTTCAAATTTCGGTTATCAGGTGTTTTATTGATATCATCATATGTTTGCAGAATTTGTTTCAGAGAAATTGTTGGATCATAAAACCACTGGTCCTTCTGAATTCCGTCTTGAAATTGTTTTGTAATTTTGCACTTTTTTGGGCTCTGAAGCCGATCGACAATCGAGCTATTTTTTAAAAAGTGCCGGTTTTGTTTTTGCTCAAAAATCTAATCTGAGTTCTTAAATATACTTAATTCTAAACTACGAAGGAGAATGGTTTGTCTCTTTTTCTTTGCGTCTTTTTGATAGCAGAATGATAAGCATTGTCGAGTAATTTCCCACTAATTCTCGCCCTTTCCACCCTTTTAGAGCTCCCGCCTCCCGCCTTTTCCTCTCGCACCTTCCCTACCACTCTCTCCCCCTGTGTTCCCGGGCTTCCACTCGCCTCTTCTTCCCTGCTTAATCATTTTTGGAATACCTTTGATCAGCAGTAAGCTGTATACAACTACCGGTGAGAGTATTAATTCACCTTATATTACATGGAAATTTCTCCAAGATGTTATCCGGGCTAATGTCAATGACTTGGGGTTCATTTTTTTCGTTTTTACAGGCATTAGGCTTGATCAAGATCTCAAATCCTAAATTGACTAGAATTCTTCCCGCGCAACCGGTGCCTCGTTAAAAAAAATGCACTTTAAGAGACAATTACAGCACTTTGATTGTCTCTTGAATTGTAAATTGTAAATATTTTATTATCCACTCCCCTCAGGGCTTTTCAGGGGTAATTTACAACACTGGTTGCGGGACTTTGCCAGGCTGCTTAGGGTGCAGTTTACAAGTAAATGAAGGAATGAGTAATGATGCCCCTATACATGAGTGTGAAAACGAGATAGACCACTACACCGGGAACTACGTGCCCTACTCTTTACGAAGAGTGCGTGGGCTCTTTAACTTCTCACAGATTTATTACATGTACAAGGGCTCGTGAGACGGGGTCTACAGTTTATCGTCCTTATCCGAGAAGACAAGAAATTCGAACCGTTTTCAGATGTTATTACAAAGGCAGCACTTTATCCTCAGTTATTTAAAGACCCTGAGTGTTGGTCCGGCCGGGGTTTGAACCTACGGCCTCCCGCTCAGCAGACCGGCGCTCAGTCCCATGGAGCTAACCGGGCGGCGGTTGAAGAGTCGTATTTGCAACAGTTTCTACTCAGGGATCGTCCAAAATTTCTGTTATTGTTAAAAATTAATCGTAGTGACAACAATAAAACATCCCTTTGAAAATTCCATCGCTCGAGTGAGGAAAATTCATAAAATATATATTCAGTAGTTTTAGGACACACTGCGTATTAGGAGAAACCAATAATTCAAAAACTAAACTATGACCAAAATAGTCATCGGAATAAGCAGCCAGCAGACTCGCACTATATATGCACTAGTTCAAAAGTAGTTTGGAAATTACAAACGGAATGAGCTGTTCAGAACACAACAGAGAAATAAGCTAACGAATCGATTTTTCCGCCAACTTACCAAGATTGATCCTCTTCAATAACTGTCTTCACTTGCTTAAAGCACGCAGATGCTCGACAAAATCCAACAAAAACTAGAATGATTTGCAATTATTGAACACCTATACAAAACTGAACACAATATGAAACAATTATAGCAATTAGATATGACATATTAGGTTAGATGACATAATCCTTTAGTCGCTCGCATGAAGTTTTCAGGTTCTCACCAGATGAATCAAAATCGGGTCGAATTTCGCAGTCATCAAATTAAAGAATAAACCAAATCAACGCATAACTAACTTAAGTTATTGAACAATTGTGTAGCTGATAGGCCATATTTAACTTAAGCGATGGGCCGACTGACATTTGAGCTGTCGCATCGCTTTTCTTAACTGATCAGTCCAGTTGATATCAGAAATCTGATTTGAAATTTAATTCTGCAATTTAGTACACGGAGAACGTGAATGGTCCTATCATAGGAAAAATATTTTTTTGCTTAGCATTGCTTACTTTACGATATGCTGCAATTTAAATGCCAGGAAAAAAGGGATAAGAGAAAAAATTATTAGGCAAATGAAATTATGTGAGAAAGTTCATGATATGTGAGCTCTAATGATGCGGCGGCAGTGCAATGCATTATTAGAATATTTGAAAAGCTCCTAGCGATAATAATGACAGAAGCTTTTTACTGGTTATGGAATACTTTGAAATGATATTCCGTGAAATATCTCACGAGTGACTTGATCAGTTTCTCCCGCAGGAGCCCATGGCCATCCTGCGAGGAGCGACCAACTTCCATGCGTTTGAGTCACGGCGTTTTCTAGTACGAGTTTATTTTTAGAACTGTTTTAGCGCGAATTTTGAATATCTTTTAAATTCAACATACCAGTTAATAAAACCTTCAGACCTAAAATGATATTTTTAGCCTTTTAACAACGTGTAGTTTTCCTTTTAGATATCTTATACGTCGAATGCGCTCATAGAGATGGTGGAGATTCTATTTTCGCGGTAAAAAAAGTGCCCTAAAATGTATCTAAAAATAAACTGGTCCGTAAAAACGCCGTGACATAGGCTGTTAATATGGAAGTTGCTCGCTCTGGGTTATGAGCTCCTGGTTTCTCAGTATACACACGAACCTTTAGGAGAGTTTGTTTGGCTTTAGGCGAGTGTGTAGTATTTTAAGGAAAATTCAAGTTCCGAGTGGGATATCCAAGGCATACCACGAGAAAGCATTGCATAACTAATTGATCCCATGTTACCACATATCTTGTACTTCACATGGGCTCAAAGATGGAGCAGAGCTTCCATTTTCGAGGTAAAAACTGACATAAAATGTATCTAAAAATAACCCGTCCGTGAAAACACCGTAAAACACCGTGACATAGCCCTATTGTGGGAGCTGGGTGACGCGGGTTATGGGCTCCTACAGACGATGTAAAAACAGGAAAACTCGACATTACATGTAAACTCAAGTAAGCCTTGCACTAAGTCTGGTTAAAAGCCTGGTAAGCCTGGTAAAACATGGTTGAACCAGTCTTACCTCCCTTTGGAAAACGAAAAGTAAAATTTAAAGCCTGGTTAAGCCTGGCTTTACCAGGCTTTCAAGGTAAGCCTGATTTAAGTTTACCATGAAAGTCGTAGTTAGAAAATGCTTTCCTTTCTGGTAAGCCTGGTTGAAATTTTCTACCTCAAAAGCTTGTTAAATAGACACACGCAGGAACGGTCATGTGACTACCCAATTTTCTTTCATTCAAAGGTTTCCATTTTCTAAAGTAATGGAGGCTCAGCTGCACGCGATAGCTTCGCTATTAAATTAAATCAGACGTAATTAAATAGCTCAAAATGATTTGAATTCAGATGGTTGCGCTGGAAGGAAATTCAAATCCCTATTTATTAGAACATAATAATGTTTTGATTGTAACTTATTGTAATATGTTTCAACGCATTCAGTCTATGATCTCAAAATTAGCGTAGAAAATTCAGCTACCAAAAAAAGTCCTAAAATGCCCTGGACCTGTCTTTTAAAGCTAAGGCTATCGTGTAGGTCAGTTATTTAATCTGATTATAAATCGAAGTAGAGGGCAATCTTTTTTCACACAGACATACAAAACAGGCCAATGCAATGCTGTGTTCATTTTATTTTACTCTTGCACTTATTAGGTCCACGTTGTGTTTTTTTTTAATTACTCAGCATGATAGAAGGTGTATACTAAACGTTAGGCCGTCTTGCAACAAAATGAATTCTTCTTCCGTCGTACTCATGACTCTTGTTGCATCATTTACCATCATCTGAAAAATCCTGATAGATAGATAAAAAAAACTATAATGTGTTATTATTATAGGGATCGATTGGGTGCAAAAGGGCAAGCTTAAAGTAATACAACTTGACTTAAGAACCTTACAGTTAAAACCTGGCTTTCTTTCAAATTACCAAAAATAATTTACGATAATTTGTTCAGAATACACCAAAACATGTGAATATTTTTTCTTACATACATTAACTTAAAAATGTCCTCATATGTCCTCAAAGATATTTACAAGGTGAAATTTAGTCGACAACCCCTTTGAATGTTACTTCACTGAAGTGATTCCCCCCCCCCCCCCCCGCCCCATGTCCTCATTTTCCAAGCAAATTTAATTGGTCCCCCTTCCGAATCCTTCCAATTTTTTTAGCGATCCGCCCTTTTGGGTTCTCAGTTACGACTGATTCCCACTTATATTCTCCCAAAAATCAAGTGATACCCTCTAAAATTCTCTCCCCCCCCCCCGCCGATAAATAATGACCGGTCCCTAAGTATAGATAGTTCTTTTTCAAGATTGAAAGTTCAAGTGCTGGGGAAAAACCGCTGAAAACATTGGTTGCGGTATTTTCACACCTTCGCGGAAGGCGTAACCGTGATGTCTGGAGACCAAAGGGGGGAAAGAGTACCCTCAGCCTCTCCACTTCAAGTCACTAGATGCCCCCCCTCCCCCCGCAACATATCTTGAAACATCACGAGCTCACTGTTGTTTAATTCATTTGATTTGCTAACGTACCTTTTCAGAACTCATCGAAAACCTTGTAAGATTTTGTCCGTCAGTTTTATTAACATGTCTCTGTAATCTAAAACAAATTGTTAGTCAATATTTTGAACAGAAGCTTATGCAGCAGAATATGGAGGTCATACAATAATGCATTAGTCAATTCTAGCTGCACCCTGCCCCCTCCGGGCTACTGTGGGGTATTTGGTCGCCTTAATTGTCAGTCCTGGGGGTGGGAATTAGCAATCTACGTGGCTCAGGGGTCGGGCATTTGCCAATCCTTCCTTCCCCCGGGCTTTTGACGAGAACGTGGTTTAGTTCCCTTTTAAACATAAGTAAACGTGCAGGATTTTACTGGACATGCAAGCAGGTTGGCAAATTAGTTCATCTGTCAGGTTTTAATGGCATGTTTCCTCAATTTTATGCATGTGATCAAAATCCAGAAATATTTGTAAAAAAGAATTGTAAATTAAACCTTAGCCTGCGTAAAGGGAGCCGGTTTATTTAGGGCCAAAGCCTTATCGAGGAAGTCGAACTCAGCAACACGCATACCGCTTACGTATTGCCCATTTCCAAAACATTGAGACTCATCTTGGCCATAAATGTTCTCTTCGATATCGATTGACTTCATTTTAATAATTCTTCCGCAGAAGCTCTTTTGCACCGCCGCCATCTTGTGATCCTTGTCTCGCGTTTCCCATTTTAAAAGCTCCCACCTCTCCCGCCTTTTCTCTCTCGCCCACTTAATTCATCCTAGACTTGCCAAAATTAAAGTCGACTACGTGAGCGCCGAAGGCGCGAGGCGAGGGACGCTCCCGAAGCAAGCAAAAGAGAGTGAGGGAGTCTCAAGTCGACAGTTTCCCGACTGACCACACCCAACCAGCTGAAACCGGAAACGGGCTTTGACAAAGTCTATAGAACGTGGCCGGCATCTATGCAAATTTATTGGAACGAAAGAAAGGGTTTGCATTCGAAAAAAAAAATCAACTCCCCCAAGAACACTTAGTTACATAACTATAATAGTAGGAATGGTTTTCTACCTAGACTTCCCAAGCCGCCAACGGGAATGGGGAAGACAGACTACGTAGGGCTTTCAACGACTGGGCTTCCCTGACTATTGAATTTAAAAGACCAATGCCGGAGATAATTTTTAAAAGAAGTTTGAATAGGTTTAAAGGTTATTCTTAGAGTAGCTTTATATACATATTTTTAACGAAGTTCTTAATTTTTATGCTACTCACTTTAATTTAATATTTCATTTTAGGATTCTTAATGTTGTTTTAGTTTTAGTATTTTATTTTTAATATAGGATCCTCCTGAAAACCAATCTTTAGTGATGGAGGCCTCCTCTTAAACATGTATTTTATTACTGTATTGTTATTATCATTATTATTAGGATTGTCTGGGTAAACAATCATAGCCGCCGTTTCATTGTTTTGAAACACCTATACCGTCACTCGCCGTGACGTCATGTGGAAACGCGCTATAATTCATCCGGGCTTTTTAGCTCACCTGTCCTCGCCACTTAAAAGTATTTTTGAAAATCCTTGATCCGCTGTAAACTGTATTCATGTGGCACTGGTATCTGACAGTATCTGTGTTTTGAAAGCGTGGCTTAGACTACAAAGCCATTGATATGAAAATGAATTTTTTCTAATGCAATTAAGACGGAATCAACCAGGACATTGGGTAATTTTGATTTTCAGTGGACAAAAATCTTGTACCAGAATCATTTAAAGCATATTGCATTCTTTCTTACATTTTTCAAGGGCTAAAGATCTAATAAATCATCTGTAGTAACACCAAAAAAAAAAAAATTATGGGAACCCAATGCAAGAAAATGTCAAATTTCACAAAGTTACATCTTACACATGAAATTTGAAGAATTTTACCTATGTAATCACAATTCTTGTGAAATTTGACTTTCATTTTCTCGGAATTCCATGAGAAATTTTCTTTGGTATTACTACAGATGATTTGTTACATCTTTAGCCCTTGAAAAATGTAAAAAAGAATGTAATATTCTTCAAATCATTCTGGTACAAGGTTTTTGTCCACTGAAAATTAAAATTACTCAACTTTCTATAGGCGATTCCGTCCTAAATCTCTTTTTCACAAGAAAAAGTCTTCAACTTAGCCTCGTTTTTAAAGTGAGAGATTTTGTAACCCGGAAATGGTCTATTCTTCCGCAGAAGCTCTTGACAACAGCTGCACCATCTTGTTATGCACAATAAGAGATGCGCAGTACAAGACCAGTGAATCACCTTAACATATCTGACCGACACAAACTGTTTTATAATTTTAAAAGGACTGTATTTTTGCTAGCTTACCTCGCAAAAACTGTGGCAGATGAGGTCCAGGAATAAAATTATTTTTTTGGGCATGGTCCGTGACGTCGCGTTTTTCTTCTTCACGATTAAATGGCACAGCTGAAATGCAAACAAACAATATTTGACAAGCATTATTTACAAATTTTTTTGTCACGATTAACTATTATTTTATCAGATATCTGAATATGTAAGTAAAGTAATAGACCTTTTTACCCGGACACAGCGGCCATATTGAATTTATTAGATTTAAGGAGTATTATGGGATGTACAGGGGGCACTCGCTCAGTATTTACACGCGCTTTTCGGGCAAAAAGAGGACTTCAATGTATATTTCTCGGGAAAAAGGCGATCGTTATTACATCCAAAGACGGCACAACGATCTTTTTTTCTCATTACAATCTTTTCTTTTTTTTTAAAGCAAAAATTGGCCCGAAAAGCACGCTTACATATGCATACTGATGCGAGTATATCGGATCGTGCTCATGCCCTCTGGGCATCCCATAATACTCCTTAAATCCAATTAATTCAATATGGCCTCCATATCGGTAAAAAGGTCTATTGTTATGGAACAGTGGTGGCGAGAATAATTACAATACATGATTAAAACAAACAACCTTAAAAAACAACCTTAACTCTGGGGTGTTTTATTTAGATTTATTATATAGACACCAGTGTTTTACTGGAAAATATACCACTCGTAAATTTCATAAAAACTACATCCGGGACGTGAGTGGTTTATTTTCCATAATCTCACACGTGAGTTTATCGATAACATAATTTCCGTAATTTTCCTTCGAAATTTGTAGGCGTCTTGCGTCTTTTGAATTCTACTTAATTTACACATTTTTCAAAGTTTTGCTTATATTTTGTCATTGTAGAGCCCTATTCAGGTCAGTGTTATTTCTCAAGATTATTGTAACCAATGTCTTATATTGCTGTACTGTAAATCTGAACCGTCACAATTACTTTTTGGCGAATAAAAATCTATTATTTTATCGATGTCTTTTTGTCTATATAATAAAAAGAACATTACACGGCCGCTTGAAGATATGAATTTTACGTTCTCGTTGCAAAAACAATATTTTACTCACTCGCTGCGCTCGCTAGTAAAATATTGTTTTGCCACTCGAACATAAAATTCATATCTTTCGCACCGTGTAATATCCTCTATTTAACATCATTTCAAGCATTACTTCATATGTAAGTAAATTAATTGTTATGGAACAGTAGAGGCGAGAATAAAACACATAAATGAAAAGAACATACTTGTAAATCCCAACACTAGGGTGTGTGGGTGGGGGGAATTGGCTTAGCCTTTTTTGGCAGCGCAGAGTTAGCCGAGAAAGTGGTGAAGACTTTTTTAAAAGCTCAGCAAGATCGGTTAACAAATACCACTCGACAGGGGTAGATTGCTACTGAAAAAGATCTGTCAGAACAAGGTTACCTTCATATTCTAAACTGCCAAATGTTTTGAAGACGGTTACTCTACCTAGAAGACTGGGTATATGAAGTTTTCAGGATTGAAATATTTTGATTAAATAAACCATGAAACATGCAATTATTGGATTCGGCCTATAACGCTACTGGTCATTATACACGTTGGGGCTCAATTTTTTCTATCCTTGGTTTAAATTTTATTTCCCTTTGTTTTAAACTAAATATCATACATTACCATACCCTGCAAAACAAAGGGAAATAAAATTTACACCGAGGATAAGATTGAACAAAACATATACATCCTAATGATGCCTATATCTTTTAGCATGGCCACATCTAACTACGTAGAGAGGCTTTTCTTAAAATCATGGCACTCATCTATGAAAAGTGATACCGTCAAAATCAGGGACGTCAGTTAACACAGAGACTAATGATCATTATATGCGACCACTATAGTTTCAGTGTTTTTACAGTGTGAAATGATTCCTTCTCTTTTCGATTTACGGGGATTTTACATAATATTTACCTGGGCGTAGTAAACTATCTTCCTTGATTTACATGTTATTTACAGAATTTTTTGACAATATTTACGGTATATTAACATGATCTTGCCTTTAGAACCTTTACATTTTACGGGATTGTCTCCATTTTTTACATCTTCTACTCGTAATATTTACACCTTTTTCACAATAACTTTAACATCCTGTTGAAGCAACGCATTTTCCCTGTAAAATGTCGTTTACAGTGATCTGTAGTTGATTTTTGTGATATTTTCATGTTAGAATAGAATTAACGGTTCTAAGATGATTTGATGAACGGAAAGAAATATCCCCGAGGTGAAGAGGTGCCACTGAAAATTTTAAGAAGAAAAATCAGATCGGCTAAAAATACTTTTCATTTCAAAATTAAATATAGTTGGCATAATATATTTAGTCAGTAAACGAAGAAAAATTTAGTAAATGCTTCGATCTTTACCTGAAGACGAAACCACGGCCACTACCAGAAGAAGGCAAATAAGAGAGGCACAGCAAATCTTCATCTTAACTGGCTGATTTTATTTTCTGCAATAAAAATGTTATCAAGGGGTGCAATCAGTCAGCTAAAATGTAAAAGATTAAATAAATCCTCTAACGGATCAGTTTCCCCCACGGTAGAGCGACTCCGTTGTTATTATAGGTGCAGTGATCTCTGGACATCCTTGTTTCATATATTTCGGTTCAATAAAAGAGACACGGCTATTAAACTGGCTTTGAGAAAAAAACTTTCAGTTATCACGCATTTAGCAATTAACACGAAAAACGTGAATTTGGCTAAAGATAAATAAGTTTTACGAAATAGGAAACTAAGGCGATTTCTCTTTCTTCACAAGAAGATGATTCATTTTCGTTCATAGTTTTGTTTCAAACTTCAGGGATCAGGTATTTTATTGATATGTATTATAATTCATATTTGCCAAATATATCTCAGAGAAATCGTTGAAATTTCTAGTTCTTCTTGTCCTTCTGATTTCAGTCTTGAAATTGTTTTGGAATAAGCAAAGTCCAGTTTAAATTTCCCAATTCCTGAATTTCCACCCTCTTATTCTTAGACAAAAACAAAGTTCCCCTTCCGGGGAATGTGGTCCAACTTTTTTATTGCTTCCACCGTTGCCTACCATTCCTTCCCCTTTGTTCCCTTTTAGGGTTCTTCCACCTTTTCTGTCCACCCCTACTAAATCATTTTTGGAATATCTTTGATCAGCAGCAAACTGTATACAACTATCTGTGATCAAAGTATTAACCAACCAGTATTACATGGAAATTTCTCCAAGGTGTTATCCAGGCTATTTTCATTGACTTGGGGTTTATTTCTTCGGATTTACGGCACAATAGACCTTAAATAGGCTAAGGTTTGATCAAGATTTCAAAACCTATCCTAAATTGACTATAATTCTTCCCGAGCAACACGACAGCCTTGTTCAGTTTAAGAGAAAATTAAAGCACTTTGATTGTGTCTTGAAAAATCGTATTTCCAACAGTCTCTGGACTCCTTTGAATTCTTTTCTACTGGGATCGTCCGAAATTTTTGTGTTATTGTTAAAAATTAATCGTAGTGACAGCAATCAAACATTCCATTGAAAATTCCATCGCTAGAGGTAGGAAAATACTTAAACAAAAATATATCCTCCCAGTAGTTTTAGGCACACTACATGTTAGGAGAAACCAATAATTCAAAAAGCTATACTAAGACCAAAAGTCATCGGAATAAGCAGCCAGCAGACTCGCAACATGCGCTAGTCCAAAAGCAATTGGAAGTTACAAACGGAATGAGCTGTTCAGAACAGCAAAATAAGCTATCGAATCGATTTTCTGCCAACTTACCAAGATTGATCCTCTTCAATAAATGTGTTCACTTGCTTAAAACACTTAGATGCTCGACAAAATTCAACAAAAACTAGAATGATTCGCAGTTGTTGCACATCTATAACAAACTGAATTCAAAATGAAACAATAGCAATTAGATATGACATATTAGGTTAGATGACTTAATACTTTAGTCCGGCTCGCATCAAGTTTTCAGATTCTCTCCAGATAACTCAAAAGCAGGTCGAATTTCGCAGTGATCAAATTAACGAAACAAATCAACGCATAACTAACTTAAGTTATTGAACAATTGTGTCAACAGCTGATAGGCCATTCATGTAAGAGATGACCCGATTCCATTTGAACTGTCGCATCGCATTTCTTCAGTGATCAGTGCAGTTGATATTAGAGATCTGATTTGAAATGTTATTCTGCAACTTAGTACTCGGAGAACGTGCATGGTCCTATCGTGGCAAAAAAATATTTTTTTGCTTTAAGCATTGCTTACTTTACGATATGCTGCCATTTAAATGCCATAAAAAAGGGACATGAGAAAAAAACTATTTATATATAGGCAAATGAAATTATGTGAGAAAGTTAAGTTCATGATATATGTTAGCTCTAATGACGCGGCGACAGTCCAAAGCTTCATTGGAATATTTGAAAATCTTATAGCAATAATAATGACTTGATTTTTTTCAGTATAAACACGGGCATTTAGGGGAGTTTGTATGGATTTAGGTGCATGTGTATTTAAAGAAAATTCAAGTTCCGAGTGGGATATGCAAGGCAAAGCCGTATTGCATAAATGTGAAATAATTGATCCCATGCCACCACATACATGATGTATTCGATCAAATTTTATACTTCAAATGTGCTTAAAGACGGAGCAGAGCTTCCATTTTCGAGGTAAAAACGGCCTCTTCTACTCGAGTGAACAGTAGTTGCAAACATTCCATCGAGCAAAAAATGCATGTTAATAATGTGTAAATTAGTCCTTTAAGTGATCTCCTTTCTATTTTAATACAACATGTAGTCTCATTTAGTCTGTCAACAACAGTGTCCAAAATATGATCCACAGATTGTCATTTGTCAGTCAATAAAGTTTGTATTCACTTCTGTGTCTACTTTAGCTGCAGCCTGAAGAAAATGGCAATACAGATGTCGAATGCATGTTTCTGCCGAGATTTTTATCAAGGCTTGTTGTTTCAAAGTGCAGGTGTGGATACATCTGGGTCTTCGCGACATTGATTAAACTTGTTTGGCTTTGTTGCCCTTGGTTAGCAAATTACAAATTCCTAAAGTTCGATTCCAAGTTCGTTGTATTGTATGATTTCTTTTTTATCAATTTATAAACTTCTAAGAAGTCCAAATGGCAGTTAAAACTCTGGTTTTATAGTGCTCTTTAACAAACTAGTCATACCTTACTTCTAGGATTCTTAGGTGCAAAGAGTTTTGCCTGTCGCGTCCTTTCTCATTTGTAGACAGCATTTCGGTGAAGAGACTGTCAAACCCTTCCCTAGCCCGCGAAGCGCAGAAGTATTTCCGGTAGTCGCTTTCGAGGGAGAGAAGCGACGACCGGAAATACGTCTGCGCTTCGCAGGCTAACCCTTCCCCGGAATCTGTGTGTGATCGAAGCTTCACGAATATGTTTGCCAATTGCAGAATTTTTATGTTCATCAACACTTTAGAAAGTTGTCGGGAAAAGTAACCGAAATCGTCACACTGACAAGCTGACGGTTTTGCTTCGACCCTAACAGTCAGATCTTAAGCTGATGTGCTAATTCTGCTTGTGAAAATAGGGTGTAGATCACAGCTGACTGACCGGAACAGAGGTAATTACAAGACTCAAAATGTTTTGTTTGAATTACAGCTTTATCAAAATTAGCGACGAAGACTCAGCTATCAAAAAATTACCATGAACCTGTCTTTTAAACCAAAGGCCATCGAGGAGGTCACTTATTAATCTGATTACAGATTGAAATAGAACGCAATCTTGTATAGTACCACATAGAGACAGAGAAAATAGGCCAATACAATGCTATAGTCATTTTATTGTACTCTTGCACCAAGTCTACATTATTTTAATTACTCCACGCTGATAACAGGTGTGAACTGTGGGCCATCTCATATCTTGGAACAAAATGGATTATTCTTCCGTCTTACTCATGACTCTTGTTATATCATTCATCTTCTTCTGAAAAATCCTGACAAATGAATTTAAAAGAATAACAGTTTCATGACATTTGGTAATGGGAATACCTGCAATCGGCGACAAAGACGGTAACCTCAGAGAACAAAAGAATCCACACTCCTCCGTTGTTCCCTCAATTCAAAGTTGGGGTGTTTGTTGTTTTCTATAGGTAGCTCGAACATCGGCACAACATTGCATGGAGGGGATCAGGGGAGGAAAAGATATATTCTTAACACATTTTGTCGCCTATTATAGGTTTTAATTAAGTACAATATGCAAACTGCAGTCTTCTCTGTTAATCGGACGCAGCCACCTTTCCGAGGTCCCAACGGGATATTTTTAGGCTGATTTAGCAACAGGACGGTAACTTCAGTTGACGACGGAAAGCGCGCGGAAAGCACTAAACACGACTTCCAGTGCCCAGCTTGCCGCTCCGCCATTGATCAAGCCAGTTTTTTAATTTGCGCGCGCCGTCGTCAGCTGACGTTCCCGTTCTGTTGCTAAATCAGCCTAATTGATTTAATGGTCACTTTGACAAGATCTGCCATACTAGTGCAGGACATGTACTATGTATGGCGTTAACTATTCTTCTACTTTCTTTTGGTACTAGTGGAGATAGAAACAGTTTGAAAGAGATATTTCTCTCTTTCACCATCTTCCTTTTTTTAATAACCCTTAGGTTTGGCAGTCAAACCTTTATTAAACGGTTAACCTGCACAGGTTTGAATGTGTTATTATCATGGAGATTTGCTGGCAAAAAGCTGGGAAAAGAAATAATCCAGTGTAAAGTCAAGAAAAGGAAAATTCTTGATTTAAGAACTTTACAGCTAAAACCTGACTTTCCAAATTACTAGATAATTTACGATATTAGTTATCTCAAAAAGTCCTCTCAGTAGTAGACTAATTTTTTTGTTTGAATATTCAAACTTGGCCTCAAGGCTTGGGGAATAAAACGAAATGTAATATTCACCCCGAAACCGTAAGGGAATTTATCTTGTTTCTGTCCGCCAAGCCTACGAGACAAATATGAATTTAACATATCGACATTGGTCTAGTTGAAATACCAAAACTGCTAAGGAGCTAAAATTTCTCAAAATATATTCCAAACAATTTGATGGCACATGAAATTTGTAACTTTATAACTATATGTCTCGCAATTGTTTCTGGGATCATTACTGGGGACGCGGCGATCAGCTATTCGCCAATTTTTTCCCTTGTCCTTAGAGACAGTCCCACAAGTCTTTGCGAAAGTTAACTTGGCCCAGTTTCCTCTATTTTCTAAAGAGGTGAATTAAAACAACATATTTCGCTTTTTTTCCTCCTTCTTGATAGATGAACGCATTTAATTTCTCAGTTTCAAGTACATATAGTTCATTTTCAAGTTTCACAGTACAAGTGCTGGGAGAAAACCGCTGAAAATCATTGGTTACGCCATATTTTCACACCTTCGCGGAAGGCGGAGCCGTGGGGTCAAATGGGGAGCTGATAGTCCCCCCTCCCCAAATAATCAAAAAAGAGTCTCCTCAGCACTTGAAGTCACTAGTTATACCCCTACCTTACCCCCCCCCCCAAAGTAACATTTCAAGAAACATCTTAATCCATGACGCATGACCTAAGTTGCAGTACGAACTTTGATGACACTTCCTAAAGATGGCTTTTGAGTGACAATAATAATTAATTTACAAGATAGTATGTCAGAACGATAGTAAATCTAGAAATTACAATGACACAATGGTTAATACAAAAAGAGTAAGAAAGGTAAAAAATAGTCGCTAGAATTATAAGATGAATAATTTATATGAAAATGAATGGTAAAGACGTCAATCTTGTTACTGATTACATGTTTGTCGGTTTTTTGACGTACCTCTTTAGAAACTGCTCGTCGAAGTTTGATTAAGTACAAATCAACCACTTTTGTCAACAACATTTCCAAATCTGAAACAAAATGTTAGTTAATCTTAAACAGGAGTTTATGCAACATACAATATAGCCTGTTCCAGGCGTTCAGATAGTAGAGCGTAGCAGTAAGGGGGGAGCGAGTTAATTTTCTCCCGCTCTCTACTTACCTGAACGCCTGGAACAGGCTATATACAATAAGCCTTCGTTAACGTCACTGGTGGCCGTGTCTATCCAACACAAGCCAAAACATGACTGAGAAAAACATGTGCAAAAATTATAAGGAGTGTGAGCGATTAATATATTAATATTATCATATTAATATATTTTATGACCAACCACTCTATATCGTGCAATTGACTGACCATGGAGGTTTTCAGTTGGCTCCACATTAGTTAAGTACATTTATTATTTAATTGCTAAAAAGTAAAATAAGAACTGGCTCAAAAATCTTAAAATCGAAGTAAGGAAATTTAAAACTAGTGAGAACTTGTTAAGTCTTTTAAAAAGTTTTCTAGATTGGATTTAAAATAGATTAAAAACGTCTTTCTTTCATTTCCTGTAGAGGACAGATCACAGGAACAATGGTAGTCACCCTCTTTAAGTGACCAGTAATCAAAATCACAAAATAATTGTAAAAAAAAAGATGAAAGAATTGTAAATTAAATCTTAGCCTGCGCAATCGGCATCTGAGTGTATTCAGCATGTTCAGGGCGAAGGCCTCAGGTGAGGAAGTGAAACTCAGCAACACGCATACCGCTTACGTACTGCACATTTCCAACACATTGAGTCTTATCTCGGCCACAAGAAAACGTTATCTAAATTTTCATTCACGTTCTCCTCGATACCTAATGACTTCGTTTTAATGATTCTTCTGCAGCAGCTCTTTTGCACAGCTGCCGTCTTGTGATTCTTGTCTCGATTTACACCCTTTTAAAGCTCTTGTCCCTCTCCTTTTTCTCTCCGTCTTCTCGTACCACTCCACCCTCGTACCACTCCACCCCCGTACCACTCCCACCCCATGAATTAAAAGCATTTTTAGAATATTCGTAATCAGCAGTGAGGTATTCAGGTGGCTCTGCAAAGGCATCTGACGGAGGCATTTGCTTACTCCCTTATAGCCTAATTCAGTAATTTTATAGCGGCATACGTGGTGATGACCTTTCAATTCCATTTAACGTTAACGTTATTCCTTAGTGACAGTCAAAACCTGCATTACGGACACCCTCATAATACGGATAACTTATTATTAATAATAACAGGAGTTCAGGCTTCAGGAGTAATCATCGGTCGTTTATTGCGACAGTGCTGTTTCGTATGGATTGCTCATTATTACGCACGATTTTCTTTGTCCCTGGGGAGAGAAAGCCTTTACATTTTCTCTAAATTCAATTCCCTTAATACGGACACCCCGTTAATACAGGATTAACTTTCACTTCAAAATCGATCAAATTCACTAGTCTGTATAATCTATTTTACAAATGTTCAAAGTGGTAATAATGACAAGGAAGCCTATATTAAGGCCGGGAGCTTATACACTTTATGCCTCCTGGCGCTATACGGTACACCATGTGAGTCAAGGATAAATGAATAAAAAATGGATTATTTTTAAAACTTAAGACAAGTATGTAGCTCAACAAAGAGTATATTTGACTAAGAAAAAATTAATCTTAAGAAATCGAGGCGTTTTAAAAGCGACCATCTTGTCATGTGCAGTGAGAGATGCGCACTGCGAATCGCCTTAACACATTTGACTCAGGATACAAATTTGCAGAGTTAAGGATTGTATTTTTTCTGGCTTACGTTTCCTCAATTCTGGCAGAAGATTTCCGGGAAAAACATCATCCACTTTTTGTGCATGGTCCGTGACGTCGCCTTTTTCTGTACGTTTCGCTGGCACAACTGAATTACAAATAAACAATATTTGACAAGGACAATTAACAAATTTTTCTCACGATTAAATATCATTTCATCAAATATGTTATTATGTAAGTAAAGTAATTGTAGAGTGGTAGGGAGAATAAGTTAAGATACCTAAATAAAAATACCAAACTTTTAATATTTACTATAATTATTACTCTCACTGTTTACTATAATCATTCCATTCATTTCTGTATTATGTTAGTTAAGTAAATGTTACAAAACAGTAGAGGAAGGAATAAAATACATGAATATAAAGAACATACTTAGAATCCCCCGACACTATTATGTGTGGGTAGGAGAATTCCTTCAGGTGACCCTTAATGACAACCCGCCTTTATCATAATAATAATAATGATAATAATATAGTACTTAATTATAGTTATAGTGATGACATCGACAATTTCGCTCCTGTAACAATGATGTTTATTCAAAGTATGTGTCTTTCTATGATTGGCATAATTCTTTGAGCTAATTCTTCATAACCCGATGTTTTTTTTTTTGCCGACATTAATACATTCAGTGACGTCAATCGAATTTATATAGCACGAAGGGTGTAAGAGACACGCCGTGCGGTAGCTTTGCTGTTTTGGCAGCGCAGCGCTGGACAAAATGGCGGAAGATTTCACGCGTTATTCAAATACAAATTGACATTGGCCAAACTTTCCTTAAGCAGTGACAGCAATATAGAATAGACAAATACCACTCAGGGTTCTATCTAGGATTTATCGTTTGGGGGAGAAGTCCCGAGTGGCCGAAGGCGACATGCTTCCTAGGGGGGTCCGGGGTATGCCTTCCGGAAATTTTTTGAAATGAATATGCTCTGAGATGCAATCTCTGTGGTGCATTCTGAGACACAATTTTGAGAAATTTTACTGTTTGAGAAATGACCTCGTCGGGTCTAGATGATTTTCCCGGTATAATTACTCATATACTGTAATGAAAGCATTATTTTTGGGGGGAGAATCTGGGCATTTGGGAAGGGAAGCTTCTACCCCTCAAATACCCTAGATAGAGCCCTGCCACTCGACCGGTATCAAGTGCTAATGAACCTGCTTGAATAAAGATCCCTTCATATCTTAAACTGCAATGAAACAGGCAAATGTTTTGAAGACGGAAACTTTAATTTACCTAGTATGATGTTTTGACTCTTTTTTATCCCAGAAGACTAAGCATATTATGGGTAATTTCAGGATTGAAATCCATCATGTTTTGAATGTCTGAAGCTGTTGGATTCGTCCGATAACACTAACGCAGTTCATGATATAAATCCATCCCATTCTTCGAGCTTGGTGATCTAACTCGGAGAGTACCTTTAGGGTACCGGAGGTTTTTTTCTCACTTGACACGGGATGCTTCGGTGGCGGCAGCAGGCCGACAGAACATCGGCCTTTGGCCGAAGCCACGTGAGAAATTGAAAACCTCGAGTGAAAAGTCTCTGGCACCAAGAGATACGGAGAGAGGATTTCTAGAAATTAAAGCGCTCTACAGACGAAACTAAACTCTCTGGTCAAGTCCGTCTGCAAAACAGCATCGAAATCCTCGTTCTAGGCTCCCACATGTGTACCAAGATTGGAGTACGCAACATGATTCGAATGCCTCAAAGGAAATTCGAAAAGCACATCCGGTAATTCGTTGAGTCATTTTGGGGCGCAGAACGTGTATCTCGGTGCTGCTTCGCAGACGTTGCTAACCGAGGTTAAAGTACGCGCGTCTGAGACGCGGGATCTTAACTATGAACAGCGCCGCCCTCGACCATAGAGGAAAGCTTTCCGGCGCGCTTCACTGCCGTTTGTTCAAAATTAGGGAACGACGTCAGAACCAACGCTGAGCTTGCAAGTGCAAGCAACAAATAACTTTAGGTTAAGCGCTGATATTTGCGAGGTAGACAGGAGCACCGCCGAATATTTAGAAAGAAAAATCACATCATATTTTCAAAGGAAAACATGGTATATATTTATTGTAAACGGTGAATAACTAAATATAAATGCTTCTTTACCTGACGACGACACCATGGCTGCCACGAGAAGGAAGCACATCAGAGAGGCCGCACAACAAATCTTCATCTTTACTGGCTGATTTTATTTTCTGCAATAAAAATCTTATCAACGGCCTGAGCAATCAGTCAACTAAAATATTAAAGGATAATCAACTAACGGCACAATTCCGCCACTGAGTCTGCCGTTTTGAAACAAAGAAAAGCTGAAGGCGGATCCGTTGTTGTTACAGGTGCATTGATCTATCTATCTTTTTGCTCCTAACTTGACGGCTACTAAACTTTGAAAAAAACCTGCAGCTATCATTGAACAATAATACAAAAACGTGAATTTGATTCATGAAAAATTTCGCTGATGTTTTGCCTTAAATTTCTGCTATCAGCTTTTTATCGAGAAACCATTGGATCAGAAAGCCACTAGTCCAACCACTTCAGCCTTGAATTTGTTTTTGGAATTTTCAAAATTTTTTTCTCTAAATCTTTCCAATGCCTGCTGATTCTGAATTCCAAGCCGATCGACAATCGTGCTATTCATTAAAAACTGAGCACCTGGCGTTTTCTCTTTCAAAATTGGATATGGGTGGAGGTGGGGAGAGATAAGGGATCCAAACCAGAATCCCTCCCCATTCTTAGCTTCTTTGCGATAACGGAGTAATAAGCATTGTTGCGTAATTTTCTCCTATTCCAACAACCCGCTTACTACCATTTTAAAGCTCCCAGCTCCCGCCTTTTCCTCTTGCGCCTCCCGTACCACTTTCTCCCATTATTCTCCAGGGATTCTACTGCCATGTGCTCCCCCACTTAACAGCAGAGCTCCGTAGCTAAGAAAATTTGGTCATCCAACCATCGGATAAATTTTGGTCGTTCAGTGACTTGACGTCCGCCCGCCCCGTCCGTCCGAGCCAAAGAGAAATCAGAATGTGAAATGTTGAACATACATGTTGTGGTCAATTGACAGCTGTCAAAACAAAGTATCCCCTGACCAGTATCACAGGACCATATCGTCGGCTCAGGTTTCAGTTTACCCCTGAAAAGATACTTGTTTTCAACCAGTGGCAAGCTCATCTCTAAGTGGATTTCTTTTCAATATGTTTTCATTAACGGGAGCTTCGCCTTTTGCCTCTGCTAAATCTATATACCAATTTTTGGATACAACTACCAGTGAGAGTATCAACACATCTCTTACAAGGAAATTCTTTTCTAAAATGCGTCATCCGGGCTATTGTTAGTAAGAATTAAACTGATGCCTCGTTAATGACATGCAATTTAAGAGAAACTTTGATTGTCCGTATTTCCAACAATTTCAGGAATCCTTTGAATTATTGTCTACCGGGATCGTTAAAAATTTTTGTGCTTTTGTTGTAAATTATTTATACTTAGCTTCTAGTAACAGTCCGAACATCCTGTTGAAAAGTCCTTCGCTAGAGTTATAACAATTCATAAAACAATCTTTTCTCTTTTAAGGTTAAAAGATTTGGAGAAACCAACGTTTAAATAAACTAACTATATTATGAGCCCCAAACAGTCTTGAATAATCATTCAGACTCACACCAATGCAATACGTCCACTAAACAACAGATGATTGGTCAAAGAAAAAATAGAAAAGCATGGAAACGGAAGTAGCTGTTTAGAAACAGTTAAATAAGCTATCAAATCGTTTTGAACATGGCATTTTTCGTGAACTTACCAAGATCGACCCACTTCAATAACTAAGATCACTCGTTTAAAGCACTTAGATGCTCGACAAAATCCCAACAAAAACTAGGATACAGTGACTCGCAGTCGTTGAACATCTATAACAAGTTGAATACAAAATAAAACAATGGCAAATAGATATGACATATTAGGTTTAACACTGTGACTTAATCCTATAGTCAGTCGCATCGAGTTTTCAGATTCTTACCATATGAATCGATAGGTAGGTCGTTTTTCGCAGTAATCAAATTAAAGAACCAAACCAACGCATAACTACAGTAAAACTGGTATTAAACGGACGAGTAGCTTGGTTTACATACATTGTATTTTTGAAACCGTGTCTCTTACCATATTATTAGTAAAACGAACCTGACTTTAGCGGACACCTCTATTAAACGGAGACAGCGAAGGTTCTGTGGCTGTCCGTCTAATACTGGTAACAACTGTGTAGTTGATACGCTATATATAAGCCATGACCCGACTCCATTTAATTAAACTGTTGCATCGCATTTCTTTAGTCGACCAGTCCAGTTGATATTATAAATCTGATTTGAAATTTAATTCTGCAATTTTACTGAAAATACTTATTTTGAGATGCTATTTTGCTTCTGTGGTCATAGTTTACAGAATTTTATAAAAGTTACTGAACGGAAATGATTCTGCTGGAATGAACGTGAAAGGTATGAACGGTATGAAAGGTATGAACGTAGAAGGTATAGCCGACCTTGGTAAATCACAGTGAAATGCCATTATAGTAATTGATTCAAAGATTAAATAAATCCTGTAACGGATCAGTTTCCCCCAAGGTAGAGTGAATCTGTTGCGGTGATCTATGGAAATCCTTGTTTCATATATATTTCGGTTCAATAAAAGAGACACGGCTACTAAACTGGCTTTGAGAAAAAAACGTTCAGTTATCATGCATTTAGAAGTTAACACGAAAAACGTGAATTTAGCTAAAGATAAATAATTTTAACGAAATAGGAGACTAAGACGATTTCTCTTTCTTCACAACAGGATCATTCAATTTCGTCCATAGTTTTGTTTCAAACTTCGGAATTCATATCTGCCATATATATCTCAGAGAAATCATTGGAGCAGAAAATTTCTAGTTCTTCTTGTTCGTCTGATTTCAGTGTTGAAATTGTTTTGGAATATTTTCAAAGTTTTTTTGCTTTCAATCTTCCCAATTCCTGCTAATTCTGAATTCCAAGGCGATCCACAATCGTGCTTTTCTTAAAAAAGTGCCTTAATTGTTTTACAGAAAACTAAAAATTGCTCAAAATCATTTCCGAGGTCATGTATAATTTATTCGAAATTAGGGGGAATGTGATCCGTCTCTTTTTTATTGCTTCTTTTTGTTGCGAACTGTAATGAGCATTGTCCAGTAATTTCCCCCGCTTTCCACCCTTTAAGAGTTCCCCTTGCGACCTTTTCTTCTTCCACCTCCGGGCCTACCATTCCTTCTCCCTTTGTTCCAGGGCTTCCACTGGTCTGTCCCCCCTCGCAACATGCGCTAGTCCAAAAGCAATTTGGAAATTATAAACAGAATGAGCTGTTCAGAACAGAGAAATAAGCTATTGAATCGATTTTCCCGCCAACTTACCAAGTTTGATCCTCTTTAATAAATGTGTTCGCTTCCTTAAAGCACTTGGATGCTCGACAAAATCCAACAAAAACTAGAATGATTCGCAGTTGTTGCACATCTATAACAAACTGAATACAAAATGAAACAATAGCAATTAGATATGACATATTAGGTTAGATGACATAATACTTTAGTCGCTCGCCTCAAGTTTTCAGATTCTCACCAGAAAAATTAAAAGCAAGTCGAATTTCGCAGTGATCAAATTAATGAACCAAATCAACGCATAACTAACTTAAGTTATTGAACATTTGTGTCAGTAGCTGATAGGCCATTCATGTAAGCGATGACCTGATTCCATTTGAACTGTCGCATTGCATTTCCTCATTGATCAGTCCAGTTGAATCTGAGTTGAAATTCAATTCTGCAACTTAGTACTCGGGGAACGTGCATGGTCCTATCGTGGCAAAAAAAATATTTTTTTGCTTAGCATTGCTTACTTTACGATATGCTGCCATTTAAATGCCAGAAAAAAGGGATAAGAGAAAAAATTATTTATATATAGGCAAATGAAATTATGTGGGAAAGTTGACGCGGCGACAGTGCAAAGCTTCATTGGAATATTTGAAAATCTTATAGCGATAATAATGACAGATTAAGGTTTTTACTGGCTATGGAATACTTTGAAATGATATACCGTGAAATATCTCACGAGTGACTTGATTTGTTTTAGTATAAATACGGGCCTTTAGGCGAGTTGGTATGGATTTAGGTGTGTGTGTATTTAAAGAAAATTCAAGTTCCGAGTGGGATATGCAAGGCATACCACGAGAAAGCCGTATGGCATAAATGTTAACTAATTGATCCCATGCCACCACATACATGACGTATTCGATCAAACCTTATACTTCAAATGTGCTTAAAGACGGAGCAGAGCTTCCATTTTCGAGGTTTAAACGGCCTCTTGTACTCGAGTGAACAGTAGTTGCAAACATTCCAACGAGCAAAAATCCACGTTAATAATGTATAAATTAGTCCTTTAACTGATCTCCTTTCTATTTTAATACTACTTGTAGGAGTGATTTAGTCTGTCAACAACAATGTCCAAAATATGATCGACAGATTATCATTTGTCAGTCAATAAAGTTTGTAGTCTACTTTAGCCGCAGCCTGAAGAAAATGGCAATACAGATGTCGAATGCATGTTTCTGACGAGATTTTTATCAAGGCTTGTTGTTTCAAAGTGCAGGTGTGGATACATCTGGGTCTTCGCGACATTGATTAAACTTGTTTGGTTTTGTTGCCCTTGGTTAGCAAATTACAATTCCTAAGGTTGGCCCCTAAGGTTCGATTCTAAGTTCGCTGTATTGTATGATTTCTTTTTGATCAATTTATAAACTTTGACTTCTAAGAAGTCCAAATGTCAGTTAAAACTCTGGTTTTATAGTGTTCTTTAACAAACTAGTCTTACCTTACTTCTAGGATTCTTAGGTGCAAAGAGTTTTGCCAATCGCGTCCTTTCTCATTTTTAGACAGCATTTCGGTGAAGAGACAGTCAAACCCTTCCCTAGCCCGCGAAGCGCAGAAGTATTTCCGGTCTTCGCTTTCGAGGGAGAGAAGCGACGACCGGAAATACGTCTGCGCTTCGCAGGCTAACCCTTCCCCGGAATCTCTGTGTGTGATCGAAGCTTCACGAATATGTTTGCCAATTGCAGAATATTTATGTTCATCAACATTTTAGAAAGTTGTCAGGAAAAGTAACCGAAATCGTCACACAAGCTGACGGTTTTGCTTCCCTTACAGTCGGATCTTAAGCTGATGTGCTAATTCTGCTTGTGAAAAAAGGGTGTAGATCACAGCTGACTGACTGGACTAGAGGTAATTACGAGACTCAAAATGTTCTGTTTGAATTACAGCTGTATCAAAATTATCGACGAAGACTCAGCTACCAAAAAATTGCCGTGAACCTGTCTTTTAAACCCAAGGCCATCGAGTAGGTCACTTATTAATCTGATTACAGATTGAAATAGAACGCAATCTTGTATAGTACCACATAGAGACAGAGAAAATAGGCCAATACAATGCTATAGTCATTTTATTGTACTCTTGCACCAAGTCTAGATTGTTTTAATATAACTACTCCACGCTGATAACAGGTGTGAACTGTGGGCCATCTCACTAGTCTTGGAACAAAATGGATTATTCTTCCCTCTTACTCATGACTCTTGTTATATCATTCATCTTCTTCTGAAAAATCCTGACAAAAGAATTTAAAAGAATAACAGTTTCATGACATTTGGTAATGGGAATACCTGCAATCGGCGACAAAATAGTTGAGACATAGTGCCCAAAGACGGTAACCTCAGAGAACAAAAGAATCCACACTCCTCCGTTGTTCCCTCAATTCAAAGTTGGGGTGTTTGTTGTTTTCTATAGGTAGCTCGAACATCGGCACAACATTGCATGGAGGGGATCAGGGGAGGATATATTCTTAACACATTTTGTCGCCTATTATAGGTTTTAATTAAGTACAATATGATGCAAACTGCAGTCTTCTCTATTAATCGGACGCAGCCACCTTTCCGAGGTCCCAACGAGATATTTTTACGCTGATTTAGCAACAGGACGGTAACGTCAGTTGACGACGGAAAGCGCGCGGAAAGCACTAAACACGACTTCCAGTGCCCAACTTGCCGCTCTGCCATTGATCAAGCCAGTTTTTTAATTTGCGCGCGCCGTCGTCAACTGACGTTCTCGTTCTGTTGCTAAATCAGCCTAATTTATTTAATGGTCACTTTGACAAGATCTGCCATACTAGCGCAGGAGATGCACTATGTAAGGCGCTAACTATTCTTTTACTTTCTTTCTTTTGGTACTAGTGGAGGTAGAGACAGTTTGAAGCCAAAAAGGGGTTGGAAAAAGATATTTCTCTCTTTCATCACCATCTTCCTTTTTTTAATAACCCTTAAGTTTGGAGGTCAAACCTTTATTAAACGGTCAACCTGCACAGGTTTGAATGTGTTATTATCATGGAGATTTGGTTGCAAAAAGCTGGGAAAGACATAATCCAGTGTAAAATCAAGAAAAGGAAAATTCTTGATTTAAGAACTTTACCGCTAAAACCTGACTTTCCAAATTACTAGACATAATTTACGATATTAGTTATCTCAAAAAGTCCTCTCAGTAGTGGACTAATGTTTTTGTTTAAATATTCAAACTTGGCCTCAAGGCTTGGGGAATAAAACGAAATGTAATATTCACCCCTACACCTTAAGGGAATTTCTCTTTTTTCTGTCCGCCAAGCCTACGAGACAAGTATGAATTTAACGTATCGAAATTGGTCTAGTTGAAATACCAAAACTGCTAAGGAGCTAAAATTTCTCAAAATATATTCCAACATTTTGATGGCACATGAAATTTGCCACTTTATAACCGAGAAAGGGACTGGAGCAGAAATCTGTCTCGAAATTGTTTCTGGGATTGTTACTGGAGACGCGGCGATCAGCTATTGGCCAATTTTTTCCCTTGTCCCTAGCGACAGTCCCAGAAGTCCTTGCGAAAGTTAACTTGGCCCAGTTTCCTCTCTTTTCTAAAGTGGTGAATTAAAACAACATATTTCGCTTTTTTTTTCTCCTTCTTGATAGATGGACGCATTTAATTTCTCAGTTTCAAGTACATATTGTTCATTTTCAAGTTTCACAGTACAAGTGCTGGGAGAAAACCGCTGAAAATCATTGGTTACGCTGTATTTTCACACCTTCGCCGTGGGGTCAAATGGGGAGCTTATAGTGCCCCCTCCCCAAATAATCAAAAAAGAGTCTCCTCAGCACTTGAAGTCACTAGTTATACCCCTACCCTTCCCCCCAACGTAACATTTCAAGAAACATCTTAATCCATGACGCATGACCTAAGATGCAATACGAACTTTAATGACACTTCCTGAAGATGGCTTTTCAGTGACAATAATAATTAATTTACAAGATAGTACGTCAGAACAATAGTAAATCTAGAAATTACAATGACACAATGGTTAATACAAAGAGAGTAAGAAAGCTAAAAAATAGTCGCTAGAATTACAAGATAAATAATTTATGTGAAAATGAATGGGAAAGACGTCAATCTTGTTACTGATTACATGTTTGTCGGTTTTTTGACGTACCTCTTTAGAAACCGCTCGTAGAAGTTTGATTAAGAACGCATCGGTCACTTCTGTCAACAACATTTCCAAATCTGAAACAAATTGTTAGTTAATCTTAAACAGGAGTTTATGCAACATACAATATAGTCTATTCCAGGCGTTTAGATAGTAGAGCGCAGCGGTAAGTGGGGAGCGAGTTAATTTTCTCCCGCTCTCCACCTACCTGAACGCCTGGAACAGGCTACATACAATAAGCCTTCGTTAACGTCACTGGTGGCTCTGTCTATCCAATACAAGCACAAACATGATTGAGAAAAACATGTTCTCTTGGCAAAAATTATAAGGAGTGTGAGCGGTTAATATATTAATATTATCATATTAATATATTTTATTATGACCAACCACTCGTGCAATTGAAACTCCTTTACTAATAATAAGAGCAACTCACCATGGAGGTTTTCAGTTGGGCCCACATTAGTTAAGTACATTTATTATTTAATTACCAAAAAGTAAAATAAGAATTGGCTCAAAAATCTCAAAATCGAAGTAAGGAA